GGGTCTGGGGAGGGGGACGGGGGGGGAATGAGACACAAACGTGGGTCCCCCGCGCCCCTCAGCACCCCGGGAACTCTCAGCATCCCTGCCCAGACCCCTCTCAGCACCGGGACCGTGCAGGGGACAGCCAGGACAGCCGAGCCCCCATGTGTGTCCCCCCCCAGCACAGCCTGCACCAGCCCCCCCCGCTGCCAGCTGGGGCGGGGGGCTCCCCCCAGCCAGGACCCGCAGCTCAAGCCCCGCTCGGTGCCAGCAGCGCAGAGGCAAGGGCCGTGCCAGCGCAGAGGGGCTGTGACAGGGGCAGGGAGGGGGCAGCACTGCAGCCCCACGGCCAACGTGCCCCCCCTCTCCGGGGCAGGATGTCCCCTGGGGGGGGTCTGGGCCCGGGCAGACCCACCTCTCTCCCTGCACCGTCCTGGGGAGCAGAAACAAGCACCAGCCCCCCCAAAACCGTTATAGCCCCTGGCTGGGCAGCCCAGGCTGGGGGGCAGCCCCCCTCCGGCAGCACAGGGGGCAGCCCCACGGGGAGGGGGCAGCCCCACGGGGAGGGGGCAGCCCCACGGGGAGGGGGCAGCCCCACGGGGAGGGGGCAGCCCCACGGGGAGGGGGCAGCCCCACGGGGAGGGGGCAGCCCCACGGGGAGGGGGCAGCCCCACGGGGAGGGGGCAGCCCCACGGGGAGGGGGCAGCCCCACGGGGAGGGGGCAGCCCCACGGGGAGGGGGCAGCCCCACGGGGAGGGGGCAGCCCCACGGGGAGGGGGCAGCCCCACGGGGAGGGGGCAGCCCCACGGGGAGGGGGCAGCCCCACGGGGAGGGGGCAGCCCCACGGGGAGGGGGCACGTCCTGCGTCCCTGGCGGTGCTGGGGGGGGGCTGCAGAGGTGGCCGCCCTCAGGACCACCGCGCCTTGTGCTGGAAATAGGCCTCGAAGCGGCTCTGTGCATAGTCCTGGGGGGAGAAAAGGGAGTCAGGGGCTGCTCGTGCCCCTCTCTGACCCCCCCACGGCAGAGGAGGGGGGACATGCAAGGGGTCCTCGGGCACCAAGGCACCCCCCGAGCAGCACTCACCAGGTACCCGAACTGGATGGTGGAGATCTTGGCCTGCAGGATGGACCACAGCCCCCAGAAGAAGTGAGAGGCCAAGGCAAACCTGGTGGAGAACGGCCGTCAGCCCCACTGGGACCTCCCCCACATCAACACAGGAGGGTTTTGGGGGTGCTGCCCTCTCTGCACCCCCCAGGAGAGCCCCCTCCCCTGGCACCAGCGTGCCCCTCACCGGTTGACCTCGGTGAGCATCTCCTCCTCGATGCGGGCCTGCTCCTGGTGCGTGGTGTCCCCCCCGCGCCCCGAGTCCTCCGAGAGGTAGTGCCGGATGAAATGCAGCTGGAAGGGGGACAGGAGCTGGCACCGCCAGGCCTGGGACGCCCTCCCCAGCCTCCTGGAGGTGCCCCCCGCCCTCAGTGGGGGCACCCCCTGCCCCACCTGCTGCTGGCGGCTGGGGTAGTTCTCCAGGGACGCCTTGAAGAAGGGCCAGGAGTCGTGGGTGTAGTTGTAGGCCCACTCGCAGAAGTGGTTGCCGATGTCGAAGCCCCTGGGGAAAAGGGGAAAAAGGGGAGGGTGAGCAGAGTTCCAGCCCCTCACAGGCAGGAGACACCCCCCCCCATGCCGTGGGGGCAGCCACAGGCCCCCCCAGCCCCCAGACCCACCGGTAGTTGTAGCTGCTGTACTCGAAGTCGATGAGCATGAGCTTGTCGGAGGAGGAGGCCTCGTGCCCGGCCAGCAGCAGGATGTTCCCTGGGCACAGAGAGGACGGGGGGGTTTGGGGGGGACCCACCAGCTCTCCCCAAGCTCAGGGTGGGGGGCAGGAAGCTGAGCCTGTGCCCAGGGTGGGCAACCAGAGAGAGAGACCCCCCCGGGGAACAGCCCCTGCACTCACCCTCCTGGACATCGTTGTGGCAGAAGACCACCGGCGAGGGGGTGGCCTCCAGCAGCTCCCTGTGGGTCAGGAGAGATGTCTCGGGGGGGGCAGGACCTGCTGGCCCTCACCCACCAGCTGCAGGGACGTGGGGGCCACCACTGCCACTGCCACCACTGCCACTGCCACCACTGCCACTGCACGTGGGCAGACAGAGCTACAGACACAGCTGGGACCCAGAGCGGGAGGAACCTGTTGGGGACCCTGCCTTGGGGACTGGGACCCCTCTGAGAGCTGTCCCCAAGGGACCTGTGTGGGGCCTTCAGCCGGGGGGCACCCTCCGAGGACACTTTCCAGAGAAGCTGAGTCCCCCCGAGGCACCAAAAGGGGGTCAGTGCCCACCCCGTGCCAGCGGGCAGGGGGGGCTTCACCTGAGGCTCTTCATCTCTTCCTGCAGGTTGTAGGCCTGGAGCTGCTTGAACTTCTTCAGCTGCTCTTCCTCGGAGAAGGTGAGCTCCGAAATCTGCTTCAGGTACCTGGAGCCGAGGAGATGGCGCTGGGGTGGGACGGACACCCCTGGGTGCTCCAGCCCCCCAAAATCCCCTCTCTCCCCAGCCCGGTGTTGAGCCGGGGCCACCGGGAGCTGCCCTGATCCCGTGCGTCCCACCGGCAGCCAGGAAGCGTCCCTGTGCTCCGCATCCCGGGGAGATTTGGGGGGCAGAGGTGCCCCAGGAGGACAGGGGGTGCCCTCACCACTCCATGGTCCCAAAGAGCCACTTGGGCTCCTTGTTGAAGGGCATCACCATGCCGTGGAACCGCGACATCTTCACCGCGATCTCCTTGGAGATGTCGGGGTCCCGCAGGTCCTCCGTCCGCAGGCGCCGGCTCTGGGGAGGGGGGGACACACACAGCAGCGATGTGAGGGGCTCACCCACCCCGGGGGGGGCCAGCCCTGCCCTCGGCCCCACCAGAAGCCCCACGGGGTGGCCCTCTCTGCGGTGTCTGGCCCGAGCCGGGGTGAGGACCCCCCCGGGGTGGGTTCTGGCGGGATGAGGGGAGGAGGGGGGGTCCGTCCCGTACCGGAATGTACTGCTCCAACCGCCCCTGCGGAAAGACCCCGTAGAGCCGCGGCCCCAGCGCCCGCTCGGCCAGGATGGCGAACATCACGCTCTCCAGCACCAGCGAGTCCACGCCCTGCGGGCACAGGCAGTGAGCCCCCAAACCCCCCACAGCCCCCCAACACCCCACACACCCCACAGGCCCCCCCAAAACAGCCCCCACACCCACGGCAGACACAAGCGAACGCCTA